TAATGTTTGGTTTAAATACTTGTCTTCAGTAAAGAATGGCAGTGTTGCTAAGGAGTGGWTTTAAGTATTGTTCAGTATTTTAAGAAGGCAATTACAGGACTGTTTTTAAATGTGTGAAAGGTTTTAATATTAAGTAACAACAGCTGTAGTTTATATTCATTACACAGGTTCAGTGCGACATGGACTCTGTCATTTTGGAAACTCTTGCACCTACTGCAGATTTACTAATATTCTTTGTATTTACTATATTATCCTATTAAATATGTATATCCTAGCAAATGTACTATTTATTATATTATCCCACACACAAGTGATGTSATCTCTTCTTGATTCTATTCTAAAAAATGCTCTTCAATCTTGGATTTTCACAGAAAACACTTCAGAAATTGTAGAAGTCCAAAACTTTTGAATTGTTGYATTTCAGATATACGAATGCTTCTAAAAATAAGAACATTATCACATAACACACTTTTGTTGTCAATTGAATAAAAAGGTTAGCTAGTTTATGTAAAGTTTGCTAGCAAAAAATGTAAAATGCATAGTTAATAATGAATCAAAGCATGTTTCACTTTAGACATAGGCTGCTGAACTGGTTTTGTTTCATTATTTAAAAGATGTCTAATAGAAATGTACCAGCTTTCACCTGGTACCTCAATTCACTCATCTTAGGAGATACAAAAAGTAATTCAGAACAAAAAAACCCAGAGATAGTCTCAGGGTGTTGTCTTGGAAACTGCAGCCCAGCCAATTGCAGTTTCTTGGAGAAAAATGTCTGTACAGTTTTGTTTGGCATAACTGCATTATTTTTCTCTCCGTGCTATAACCTATGAGTAGGCCAGTATGCTTAGCCAGCATGGAGTGATACAGACCTATTCCTCATTTTGCCTAATGRTATTCCTACGAGCCACCAGATCTGACACAGAAAATACACAGCCTCGCCTCCTAGGTTTGAAAAATCTTATTTGTTTTCTGTACACAAAAAAAAAGGATAGTTCACAAGACTGAATATATCTTTAGTCTGTTAGATAAAGAGGAAAAGCTACTTAGTTTAATTAAATCAATGCTATTATATATAAAATCAATTCTTTTATACATGAGGAAAAACTGTTGAGACTRAACTTTGTTCTTCATTGGAAAATCAGAAAGCATTCTCAAAAGTAGTCTAAGGTAGCATTTAACAGTAAGCACAAAATTCAAGATATGCTAAACACAACACAAAACATGCTYATTTACAAAACAATCATCCCTTGCTCTACTAGAATAGAAAAGAAAATGCAATAGTCGTATTTATTTCTTCACTGAACCAGTCGTTAATGATTGCAAGTAAAATCATACATTTATATAGGGAAAGCATTTCAACATGAGYTTGCTGACATGGAAATTGTAAAGAAATCTCAACTTTGTCATAGCTAACATTGGACTGACCATATGCATCTAGCATTAGATTCAAGTTATTTTTCCYTTCAGAGGGATTTCAATAAAATTAAATCACATTTTTAAAGGGAGAAAAGAGGAAAAATTAAGTGACAGACTTACAATAATTGATTATGATATGCTGATTTGACTGCGTATGGCCAACAATTGCTGCTAAAAACCCAGCTCTCTCTGCAGTCTGTGTACTCAAACCACTGGGCAGCATACACATAAAAGTGCTGCTGTACCTTATCCCAGTCACATGCAGGTCTTATTGAAAATGAATATGCAGTTTGTTTTTAAGARATTTTTGACGTTAGTTAATATGTCAGGAACATGTTCACAATATTGAAAATCAATTTTTAAAACAAAGGAAGTTTTTATTAATGAAACATCTTTTCCATTGAAGRGAATGAGGAGTTCAGTATCTGAGATTATTTCTTCTTGGCACCTCAACTGCAAATTTTCTAAATTGGAAATGAAGGATTTGGAGAAACACAGACAAATTTATATCCACAAATGATGACCATTATACACAAACTGACTCAATGATCCTGGAAGTCTTTTCCAGCCTTAATGATTCTGCAACTCTGAGTCAATGTTGCGGGGCTAACCAAATATCATGTGAAACAATGACTAAACAGCAGTCATACAATCTAGGACTTACYGCTAGTCAAATAATTGGCTTGTCTACCATATAGTTTTAGATTATTTAAAATCATCTCTCATTGTAGATATCAAATGCAGGGTAAGGGAATCTGTCAGCCTTGAGATGTGACTCTGAGAAGCAGCCCTGCCTGGAGATCTCTGTTCAGGGAGCACAGGTGACACAGGCACTGGCAGCAGGGATCAATATCCTCATAGCCCAGCACCCCTTTGGGGTGTGTGCAGGTGKGCAAGCCCAGCAGCGCTTCGTTCCACCCACTCCAGATCACACCAGGCATCGTGGCTCTGCCTCAGAGCATCCGTCCCCAACAAGATGTGGCTTCGCACAAGTTTGCAAGGTTTGCACATCAAGGCTGATTTCAGACAGGCCTGTACCAAAGCACTGTTAAACTCACTGTGGGTGCTCCTGTCTCAAACAGCAACAGTCTTTCAAACAGTCTGTCTGCTAGCCTGAACAGCAAATGCATACACAACTATTAACTATAAAACTATACACACGCCCCCCACACACATTCTCTGACGTTAAAGAACCAGCACTGAAAAATCTGAAGATTCATGCTTTTCATTATACGAAAATATGTGCTGTGACTTCCTCTATTTGTACCATAGATAACAAATTTCATAAAAATATTTGTAATAAATAGCAAAGCAAGGACAGTGGTGATGCACTTTCCCTTGTGTTGGCCATGCAGTGTGATCTGCTTACAAAAATAATAGGCATAGGAAATTAGTAAGATTTGATGTGCCCACCCTCACAAAGTGGGGGACAACTAGCATCAGATTTTCACAAAAAATATGATACTGAAATCGACACAAGTTGGACTTGTCCGTAAAGCTGTAACAAATTACTTTAATCGAGGGGTAGAGAAACAAGTCAAGATTATCACCATAAGGTGGCCATGAAGAAATTAACAATAAGATTTCACACCTGAACTGGCTCTAAATTGCAAGATTTTAACCTTTTAGGAATTTATTAAGGCAAGTTAAATGTGCTAGGAGTTTGTTATGGCACTTCAGACAGCTGCAAGGTCATATTTTTCTGTACCCATGAGAGATGAACAAGCCCTCAAGCAAATTATTTCCCACATGACACAAGACTGCTTTACTCAGGGAAATTTCTTTTCTGTGAGTAACAGAGAGATAATTCTTCACTATTTAATTATGATGTATTTTCTACAGTTTATGTCTAATGTGAAATTTAACAAAAGAATATTTTCTGAAATAAATTATTATCGTCTCCCCAAAATTACARCAAGTAACCATATTTGGCTGACAACTTATTAATCACTCCCAAAAGCTACCATAAAGTATCACATGCAATATTAATACCAATGCCCACCTTATAAGCTTTGACAATGTAATAATTGCTAAGATGTAAATTCAAATATCTTTCATGATGTTATTTAAATAAGAAYAGCAATCTAGCATTCAGTCCCCTACAAAAGGCATGCATGAAGTCATAGACAGCATACTGCCAGTTGATTGCACTATTCTAAATGACTACTTTTGCAACTTCTRAGTACATTAGCAGTTTTGTATCAATTTTCAGCACTTTCAGAACTTTGCATTATGACTGATTTTCACTTGTACCCAATACTAAAATTAAAAACATCTCCCAAAACCCAACCCACCCCAAACCCCCAAATTAGACTTTTAATCCACAGAGTATTTTTGTCATGATTAATGACATCTTAAAGGTGTTTTATTTAGGTCTAATTCACCAAAACTATTTACAGAATTTCAACAACAAAAAAATAAAGCCAAACCAACCTCTTACATAGCTAGAMATATTTCAGTAACTGTATTCCCTGACTGAACTTCAATTTGATGGTTTTAACAAATGTAAATCAATCCCGTACACAAACAAATTGCCCAGGACAAAGTGAGAAGGCAGTGAGCCAGAAAAGGTATGCTGTCAATTAGATAAAGCTGACTTGGTCCTTTTCAGCAAGGCAAATAGGCATAAATTAAAAATCTGCTGAACACAGGAATCTAAGCTATTTTGAAAAAACAGTTTGCATTTTTCAGCTAAAAACATATCCCAATGTTCACCAAGTGTTGCAATAGCTTTCCTCATACTTCTATTTTTGCTTATTTGACATCCACAATGTATCAGTTTGCTTCAATAATTTCAGACACTGCACATCATAAAAAGTGTCTTTACCATTCTAGAAGGTGAACGAAAACCTGGAACAGCAGAGACATGTAATACAATTACCTGAAGCCAACATTATTTAGTCTAAATTTTGCACTTACTATAGGGACTACTAAGAAGGCCTCACAAAATGTCCCATATATTAGTTTTCTGATTTGGAGTTTAACACGATGAATCTGCAAACAAATTTGTAGAGGCCCAAATCTGTGAAACACAACAATCTCTTAATACCATGTTTAAAGTGCCACATGACTTTTCAGCTCTTGTCTTCTTATTATTATTTGTATTAAGAAATTATTGAATGCCAAAACCAAAATTACAGCATAATTTATTTTCTCAGCAAATGAAACAGATCAAACTAATTGTTTGGTACTTGGAAGATGGTAATTTAGACCTACTTCACACTGTTACATCCTCTTTTTCATGGGTATGCACAGGAGTAAAAAGAACTACTGAAAGGAACGACATGAAAAGTCGACTTGAATTCAGTGTTTATATAGTAATTGTAATAAGTTAGTTTCTCAAATTCGAAAAGAATGCTTTGGCAAGTGGGCTGCACTGTAGCTGCTAATACAGCACGTCCTGCCTGTCTTTGGCTTGCAAAGGCATTCAGTTCAGAATCCTGCAGTTAGGGTGGACTGACATCTGTGAGCACCAAGAGATCCTCAGGCTAGCTGCTGAAATTAGTATTGTAACAAACTAGCCAGTCTACAGTCCGAAAAGTATCGTCAAAATAGCGAAAAGAGGAAAATCGCAGGAACTGGGAATGCAGGAAATCCTGGTTTCTAGTTCCCAGGTACGTGCTCTACATAACTTTCAAGCAGAGGAATGTGAGTCTGCACACAAAACAAAACCAAAATATACTGTGAAAACAAGAATAAAGCATGTGTGCAGAAAAATACAGCAATTTATAGCTTAAAGGAGAATTCATAGACATCCAAAACTATTATTTYAGGAACACATGATAAACAACCAAAAAGAACAACGTTACCTGTAAGCAGGCAATGAAATATGACAAAATTGAACTAACAGGCCAGAGCCAACAATGAAACACATCTCGGCTTTAAGGTGTTTACTTAAAAATCCAGCAAAAAGCTGGCAACTTCAGCAGCTAAGAACACATTCAGTATTTCTCTCAGGGACTTTTTTATTTGTTCTTTCATACATATCACTGATGGAACCCCCTCTTTAGATTATATATATATATWTTTTTTTTAAGGAGAATACRTGGTAGGGTCTACCAGGCCTCTTGTGGGGGGAAGGTAACGATGAGGCAGACGACGACGGCATTGCAAACTTTCAAATTAAAGACGATTCAACTACTASTGCTTTGAAAAACTCGAACACATCGATTTCTAAATAACAAGCCATCCCTTCGCWTTCAGTCTTGCGGATAAGCGCTCCCATGCCTCTTGGGAGTCAAGAGAAGCTATACACCCATGCTTATCTTTCAACGCTACGTGGTCCGGCACCGCCAAAATGAGCGAAGGGCGCGATAAACCCCGGTGTGAAAGAACAGCCGCCGATCCCACCCGCGCCCCGGCACCGCCACAATGAGAGCACGGAGCGATAACCCCCGGTG